ACGAGGTTATGTCATCTGCATACCGCAGGTCTTGAGTTAGCCTTCCTCCTGTCCGGATGCCGCATTCTTCATTGAGTCCCTCCCTCCTCCCCATGACTTGCTCAGCGCACCGATTGAGTACGATGGCGAGAGGACACACCCTGCCGCACCGCACACCTTTCCTGATGTGAAACCCTGCAGCGTGCCCTTGTTCTGTTCCACAAGGAGGTCGCGGTCCGTGCGCAGGTTCAACAGGTTCCACGAGCACAATGAAGGGCTCTGAAATTCTCATTCCTTTTTGAGGTCATGTGTCCAGAGGGTTAGGCATTTGGGCTGCTAACTGCAAGGTGGGTGGTTCAAACCCACCAACCCTCAGAGGGAGAAAGAAGGTGCCGTTGGCTGCCTCAAAGATGTACATTTTCGGAAACCCCATGGGGTGGTCCTGCTCTGCCCGATAGTGTTGATATGAATCCATTCGACTCGTTGGCCGTCGGAAGCTGAAGAATCGTGCGTTTGAATGGTGGGGCTGGAGGAGACTATTGGAAGTACCACGGACTGCCAAAGGGACAGACCGATCCATCTGGGAAGAAGTACAGCCAGTGTGCTCCTTAGAGGCAAGGACGGCGAGACTTGCTGTCTGGACGTGCTGTCAGGAGGGACCAGCCCCTGGAGGACATCGTGCTTGGTAGAGTAGAGGGTCAGAGAAGAAAACCCTCAGGGAGATGAAGGGACCCAGGGGCTGCAACCATGGGCTCAGACAGAACAAGTGTGAGGATGCCGTAGGACCAGGGGCTGCTTTGCTCTGCTGTACTTATGGTCGCTATGAATCAGGGCCTTGGGGCACCTGATAACCACCTGATAGCCGTCCTGGGTGGGGGGACAATGGCTTGTAGGCCCAGCCCTAGCTGGAGGGCAGGCAGGCTGGCAGATGAGATTGTTGATAAGGTGGGAGTGGCTAGCTAGAGAAAATTGCAGGAAGCTCTGTCCAGCTCCTGGTCTCTTGCAAGGGTGCCTGGGAACAGGGACAGGATGCCCTGTGCCCCATATTGGGACTTCCCTGCCAGCAAGGCATGGACGCCGTGCGGGGCTCGGTCAGTGTGCGCAAGGTGTTTGCTCTCCTCAGGCCAGGCTGTCACCCTCTGCAGGTGAAGACTCAGGGCCATTCTGGGTGCTTGGTGCTCTGGCTGTCCTGGGTGCCAGTCCCTGTCCAGCACCTAGGCTTGGCAGGGGGTGACCTGGGTCCTCTCGGGACCTCAGTCTCCCGTTTCTGTCTTGCTAGATGCCCTTGAGGCTCCTTCCTCGGTGAGCAGCGGAGTTGTAGAGCTGCCCAGGCAGCGGCCATTGCTTCCTGGAGAATCTGGCATCTTGGGGGTACCAGAGCTCTCCGCCCCCAGCCTTGGTTCTACGTGTGCCCCAGCTTGAGCTGACCCAGCCCCGAGGACACAGCAGTGCTGGGGACCCCTGGTCACCGCTCTCCCTGGATGACTACTAAGCCACCTCTGTCCCCTCCGCCCTACCCAGCGGTTCTCAGAGTCAACCTGGTGGCCGTCCACTTAGGGAGGCCCAGGCCCAGGCCGAGAAGGCGCTGGCTGCAGGCACAAGGGAGATATGTGTGTCCATTCTGTGGTCTCTGTTCAGCCCCCACATACCCGATGGGTACATGGCCCCTCGTGCGACTCTCGGGCAGGGATTGCTGTCTCCCAGGGCCGCAGGCAGAGCGGGCAGTGGTCCCGAGTCCATCAGTTGCCCGCTGCCCTCCCCTCCTGCCCCTCATCTGAAGAGCCATGCTACCTCACCTCCTGGGAGCCAGCCACTGTCAGCTGCAGCAGGCGTGGGTGGGGGAGGTGGGTGGCAGATTAGGGGAGGGTGGGCACCCCAGTACACTGAGTGGGACCAACAGCTGGCTCTTTGTTCCCTTGTTTGCTGGGCGAGGTCATGTGCCAGCCCCTCTCCCCCCAGGCCGCCTGGATATCCCTCTGCTGGACGTCAGCAGCATGGACTTTGGCCTCTCTAAGTACAGCAACTGCCCTCCAGCCGGTCACATGCTTCCTTCTGCCAGCGAGGGGGGCAAACAGGCTCTTGGGACCGAGGACTCAGACCAGACCCGTGGGGGGGACCCAGGATCCTGGGGCTGAGGGTTCCTGTGCAGCTGGGGTGCTGGGTGCCTAACTTCCCTGGAAGCCCCCCGCAAAGCCCGGCGCCCCCTCTCCTGAGACCCCAGTGGTGTCAGTGGAATATGGAGTGGGCTATCTGGCCTCTGGGCTTTGTGTCCTGGCCTTGCAAGACCCTCGGGGCAGACTGCCCATTACAGATGCCCCTCCCCTGTGTCCCCCAATTGGCGGGGGGCGGGGGGAGGGCAGGGCATGCGGTCCCCTCGGTAGACATCGTGCCTCCCGCCCGTCCGCCCCTCCCCACAGGCAGCAAGGCTGGCCGGGAGCTCTGCATTGACCAGGCTGTAGTCTTCATGGAGGACGCAATCAAGGTGGGTACTGACCCCGCGGAGGTCCCCCCCGCCCCCCGCCCTGCTCTGGTCACCAGTGAGGCCCCTTTGCTCCCTGCTGCCCTGTGGCAGGGTCCCTGGTTCTGCTTGGTGTGGTCCAGATGCCTGGGTGACGGGGCCTGGGCCTGCAGGCTCTGTGAATGGCTATGTTCTGAGGTCCCGTGAGGGGTTGGGGCCCAGATGCATCCTGGGACAGACAGGTGGCACAGGTGGCAAGATGGTTCTGTCCCACAAGTGCCACCCGGGCCTGTTAGGAGCCGAGGGAAACAGGCACCAAGTGCTGGGGACCCTCTTGGGACATGTGGCTAAAGGGGGGTGAACAGGGGGCTGATGGGTAGTTCCGTGCCTGGAGTGGAGGTAGGGGGCTGGGGGGGCGGCCCTCCACAGCATTGCCTGCTGGGCATATGGGGTAGCGCAGGCTGTGGGCTTCTGCCTGGGCAGTCTTCTCAACCACGTGTCCCAGTACCACACGCCCGTCTCCTGACCTGCCTCGGGCCGAGACCGGGAGTGTGTGCCTCCAAGTGCTGTGAGGGCAGGCTGACTCGGGCTCACGTGTGTGAAGGTACTGGGTGTGCACACGTGTGTGAGGACACACGGTTCACGTGTGTGTGCAGCACGGGCCTGCGTCCACTCTCCGTGTCGCCCTCCCTTCCAGTACCGCTCCATCAACCACCGCATGGACGCCCGCGGGATGTGGTTCTACCGGTGGTATTACTCCAGCTCCTGCCAGTGGTGAGGACGGGGCGGTGGACTGTCCCCTGTGCTGGGGGGACACCTGCTCTCAGGTGCCAGGGGGAGGGATTTCCCAGAATGTTCGGGGTGCCGAGACTGCGGACTTGAATTTTTTATTGAGGTGAAATTCATGGGGCATGCAGGCCATCATTTTAAAGTGGCATTTCGTGCCTTGGGTGACCAACACCTCTTTCCAGCCCTGGACATCAGTCACCCCAAAAGGAGACCTGTACCCATGAGCAGTCATTTCTGGCCCCCCCCGCAACTGGTCACCGGCTTCCCGGTGTCAGGGTTTTCCTGCGGGGACACTGGGCATTCCCACTGTCACGGGATGGTGGCCCTGACGTCTGCCCGTTCCGCTCGGCTGCCCCTGTCCAAGCTGGACATCAGTCCCCACAGTGGCTGCATGCTGTCTCCTTGGGCTGGCTGGATGGGTCCGAGCAGGCTGAGGTCACCAGCGCCTCCCTCCGGCAGGGTCCTGAGTGTCGCCATCTTCCTGATCCTGGCGCTGGCCTTTGTGGAGACCCCGTCCTCCCTCACCAGCTCCTCGGACGTCCGCTTCCGCTCACCCGCCTGGGAGCCGCCCTGCGGCCTGACGGAGAGCGTGGAGCTGCTGTGCCTGCTGGTCTTCCTGGCTGACGTCGTCATGAAGGTGGGGCAGGCCCCCCCTCCCCACACAAAGGCAACCCAGTCTGGGTGGGGGCAGGCCAGTGCAAAAGCCACTCATGGGGGTCCTGAGGGCCCCCCCCACACACACACACAGACAGAGGTGGGCTTGGCCAAGCCCCGACATCCTCATGTGGCCCAGGGACACGGGCCCTGCCGTGGCCCCCCACACAGCCTGGATTCTTGGTGTGATATCAGATTCCTTCGGGAGCCCTCTCATCCTCAGACTTTACTCCTCTCCCACCCCAACTGAGCCACAGTCACATGACCGCCCGTCCTTGCCCCCTGACTCTGCCTGGCCTCGGGGAAGGTGACTGTGGCCTCCTTGGGCCGAGGGCAGGGTCTGGGTGAGTCTGGTGGTGGCTGCTGGGCACAGCCTGGGTGTGCTCTGCCTGGGAAGGGCTGGCCTGGGGTCAGTCAGCGGGATTGCTCTCACCCGCCAGCCGCGCCCTCTGCAGGCTGGAGCAGGATAGGCAGGTGGGTGTGTGGGTATCCAGGCTGACCTGGTGTCGGTGGGTGCTGGCCTCCCACGGCTCTGCGGAAGGCACCTGGCTCTCTGTTAGCGCTGGCCCGGGCAGGGTGCCCTGTACGGGGTATAACCTGGTGGCTGCCTGCAGGGCTACCTGATCGGCTGGGCCCAGTACCGCAGCAGCCCCTGGCTGCTGGCCTACTTCCTGGTGCTGGTGGTGTCTCTGACGGACTGGATCATCTCGCTGAGCCTCCTCTGCTGGGAGGTACGTGACGCAGCTGCGCCCACGTAGGTGGGGGCTCTGGGTGCCAGGGACCTGGGCAGTCATCCGGCCGCCTGCCCAGCACTCTCCTCGCTCCTGGGCGTGCACCCCTGTGCTAGCCAGGGAGCTGTGCTCCCATTTTGCAGATGAACATGCTGTGGCCGGGGGTACCCACCCGGGTTTCTCGGGGTCCCCCTGGGGGTGTGGAGGACTTGGGAAACCCTGGCTCTCAGCTCCCGGCCTCCCCTCTGCAGCTGGCTGAGTCCCATGCAGATTCTACCTGGGTGCTCCTGCTCTGGGCCGGGGTGGGTGGGGACCACCGTGCGGGTCAGCGCCCACCACGGGCAGGCGGGACTGTGAGTGCTTCGGGACTGTCTTCCGGAGACACACAGCCAGTAGGAGAGGGTGTGTGAGTGTGCGTGTGTGTATGCGAAGAGAACAGGCGGTTTCTTCAAGACCCCGGCCTGCCCTGCCCTGCTGCACGCTCACGTTGGGCCGGCTAGGCTGGGGTAGGCTGGGCTGGAGCTGGGGGACTCAGTTGCTGGCATGGCAGCAGGTTCTCCCGTCAAGCACGGCCTTCCTGTCTTTCACTGTGACCCCAGGTGGCCCGGGCTGCTGGGAGCCTCTAGGAGGCTGTGCCAGGGTCAGGGTGGGGCTGCTGTTAGAGGCTCCTGCAGAGGAAGCTCTCCTGTGATGATGGCCCCGGGGACTGTCCGCTGTGATGGCAGGGGCATGATATGCCCTGGGGACTGCCTGCGATGGTGGCAGGGGTGACAGGCCCGGGGGCGGGATGGTCCCGTGGGCTGGCCCAGCGCCTGGCGTCTGAGTGTGCGGCGCGCTGTCCGCAGACCATGCGTGTGCGCCGGCTGCTGCGCCCCTTCTTCCTGCTGCAGAACTCGTCCTTGATGAAGAAGACGCTCAAGTGCATCCGCTCCACGCTGCCGCAGCTGGCCAGGTGCGTGTGTGTGGGGGCTGGCCTCTGGATGGCCAGGTAGAGGGGGACGGGGTCAGGTGAGGGGGCCCTGGCCTCTGGATGGCCAGATAGAGTGTGCGTGTGTGTGTGTGTGTGTGTGTGTGTGTGTGTGGGTGGGGTGGGGTGTGGCCAGGTGCAGAGAGCCTCAAATCCCAGGTGGGCACCACGGGGGGGATAAGAGGACAGGTGCAGGGGGCCCTGGGCCCTGATTAGCCAGGTAGAGGCTGCAGGAGGATGGAGGAATTAGGTGCAGGAGTCCCTCCGGGTCCCAGATGGGTGGGTACCTGGGCCCTTAGGGGCAGGTAGGGTGGATCCCCGAGTGGCATGGAGGTGGGGAGCAGGTGCTTGGGGCCCACAGCTCAGCAGGCTGCCAGCAAGGGTCTGTGCCCAGACCTGGAACATGGCCAAAGTGCACTGGGGTCCCGCCAGCATGGACCCCCTGGGACCTGGTCTTCGGGGGCTGGTGGACATGCCGTCACTGTTCCCGGGCCGTGGTCACTGGCGTGGGGCCAAGTGCTCCCGTGCTGACCGCCCCCTCGTTCCCAGCTTGGCGCTGCTGCTGCTGCTGCACCTGTGTTTCTTCACCATGTTCGGGATGCTGCTGTTCACGGGCGAGAAGGTGCGGGTCGTGGGGGGTGTGCATGCAGGGGCTTCAGTGCACAGTGCTGGGGGCTCACAGGGCAGCAGGTCAGAGTGCCCTGGGGTGGGTGAGGGTCCTGGGGGTGGTGAGTGGGCTGTGGTGGGTGAGGGGCTGCAGTGCTCTGTCCTGTGGCTGCCCCACAGGGGGGCGGGGGCTCAGCCTGGCCAAAGGACCATCCTGAGGGCCATCTGCTCGCAGGACGACGGGGTGAGCAAGGAGCGGCTACTGTACTTCCGCAACCTGCCTGAGGCCCTGACCTCCCTGCTTGTGCTGCTTACCACGGCCAACAACCCTGATGGTGGGCTCGCAGTGGGGTGTGCGCGAGGGGCATGTGTCTGTGACGGGGCGCGTGTGCGCATCTAACGGTGTGTTTGCACATGCATGACGGGGTGTGTATTGTACACATGCACACGTGTGTGACTGCGTGTGAAGGGTTGTCATGTACATGACAGGTGTGTGCATGTGTGAGTGCGTCTGTGTGCGGCAGTGGGTGTGTCCGTGCTTGTGGACAGTGTGAGCGTGTGACTGGTAGAGTCAGAGGGACCGGGACGTGGGGAAGTGAGTCAAGACCTGCTCTCACCGGCCTGTGGGCTCCCAGGGGACTTCAGGTCAGCGCAGGGATGAGAGGGCGGTGAGCTCCCTGCTCTTGGGGGCCTGTCAGCAGAGGGGTGAGAGTCACACTGTGCAGGGGAGTGGGCGGTGCGGGTCTCGGGGCCCCAGCCTGAGGTCTCTCTCCCCCAGTGATGATGCCGGCGTACTCCAAGAACCGGGCCTACAGCCTCTTCTTCATCTTCTTCACCATCATCGGTGAGCGATGTGCCCACCCTCTCTGACCCTACTGTGGGGTCATGGGGACACTGACCAGCCATGAGACTGCTGACCGGGCCATGGGGACACTGATGGGGCCCGTGGGACACTGGCCAGGTCCTGGGGACACTGACCAGGCTCTTCCCTGAAGGCAGCTTGTTCCTGATGAACCTGCTCACAGCGATCATCTACAGTCAGTTCCGCGGCTACCTGATGGTGAGACTTCTTGGCCAGGCTTGAAGGCAGGAGCGGGCCCAGGCTCTCTGGGGGTGGGGGCTCCGTTCCTTCGGGCCCCCACCGCCATGGAAGGCGCTCCCCCACTCCCTAGAAGGACCCTTGGGGGGAGCTGACTGAGGATCCCCATCTCCCTGAGTCTCTGTGGGTCCCAGCGCCCTAAGACCTGGCCCTGGCAGAGGAAGGACTGCCACCCCCGTCCCCCCAGCTCTCTCTGCAGACATCGCTGTTACGGAGAAGGCTGGGCACCCGAGCCGCCTACGAAGTCCTTGTCTCCCTGGACGGGGGCTGGGACGGCCACCCACAGTCGTGAGTGGGGGTACCTGGGACCTCAGGTGGAGATGGGCACCTTCTCACTGAGAGTGAGGGAGCACCCTCCTGGAACCCTCTCCTCACTGAGGGTGGGGCCCGCAGCTTGGGCAGGGGACCTGTGCGACCTGGGGTCCATCCCAGGAAGCTTGGCTGGCCCCTCCTGTCCGGCTCGGGCTGTGTTCTTGCCCCATGGACGGCGGTGGAGAGGCCCACAAGAGAGCATTGGCGGGTCCGGCCGCGGAAGCGTGTGGGGGCAGCTGGGCGGAGAGAGTGGCGTTTCCCGTGCGCTGAGCCCCCATGGGATTTGGTGGCACTGATGTCATTCTTGTGCCGTGCCCTGGCCATCGGCTCCTGGGACGTTTGGGGACTGGCCACCAGGCACCAGGGTCCTGCCTATAAGGCCCTCCATCCTCGTCCCCACCTTGGGCCCAAGGGATCCCGCCCTGTTTCCTCTCAGGCTCAGTGAGGGGCCCACTTTTTCAGGCAGTTTGTGGCTGTGGGGGACACTCCTGGGCAGGGCCTTCCCCATCGGGTGAGGTCGGAGTGAGCAGCCAGGCCCAGGCCCTCACGGCCTGCCCCCTCACAGAACTGGGGTCCAGCCCGAGACCTTCCTGCGGGCGCTGACGAAAATCCACATGGCTGAGCACTGCAGGCAGGCCATCGAGCAGGTGACCACCACTACCGCTGCCCGTGCTGCGGGCTCCGCTCCTCAGCCAGCAGCTGGGCCTGGCTGGGGTGCTGACCCCTCCCTGTCCTCTGCAGAAGGTGCGTTCCCATGGCGACAGCCTGCTGTCAGCTGAGGACTTCCAGAAGCTCATCAACGAGGTGGACAAGCGTGTGGTCAAGGAGGTAGCGGCGGGTCAGCTGGGGCTCCCTAGTCTAGGCCTACTGCCCCAGGCCCTTGGGCAGCGTGCCGGGACCAGGGGTCATGGGGTTCCCCCTAAGTCCAGCTCCCTACTCCCTGATCTCCAGGGCAGTTGCTGGGATGAGGGCCTGGGATTGGGGCAGGACTGTGGGGGAAGGACCGTGGGGCAGCTCGCTGGGCCCAGGGTCTGGTGTCAGCATTAGGGATCACTTCCTTAGGCTGAGTGGGTGAGGGGGGGTGCAGGTGGGTGGGCCCCCTACATGGCTCTGAGCTGCGGCCACTCACCCCCCAGCACCCCCCACGGCCCGAGTACAGCTCGCCGTTCCTGCGGAGCGCCCAGTTCCTCTTCGGCCACCGCTACTTCGATTACCTGGGGAACCTCATCGCCCTCGGGAACCTCATCTCCATCTGTGTGAGCGC